TTTGTTAGTCTCTAAGGTGCCACAAGTCCTCCTGTTCTTCCTCTCACTCCAGTCACAGGGCCCTTTTCCTATGTGCGAACCTGGCAAGGAAATAGATGCTGCAATTGTAGAAACAATGGGTAGAATGGCAGGGAATTGCTCAATTACCTATGTGAGATGGAATTTTAGTCATGTAATTTTGTGATGAGCTTTTTGTGATGCAAGCTAAAGAATGCACCTCAAGACTAAGTTTTTCAGGGCTTTGATTCTTTGTTTAGTAACCCTCATCTCCTGCAAATTACCCTATATGCTTTTCCAATGCTACATGAATAATAAAGAGACCGTTATCAAGCATCTTTACCACTAAATAGCCAAACAGCAGTGGTGGCCTTGGTTATATGACAAGCAACCTTCCACTTTTTTTTCTGTAGTGGGAACTATACAAGTCAGTCTTATTGTACGCAAAGATCAGTTTTAACCATGTTCATGTACTATTTTCAAAACTAAAGGTTAAGTAGTGGTTGTAGAATGACTGAGCAAGTAATTGTAGCAGCCATTCTGTGCTCAACAACTGAAAGGCAGCTTGAGACTTTACTGCCCATAGGGGAGCCCTGGTAAGCATATCACTTGTCTCCCTTCTCTATCATATATGACACCCACAAGAAGCATGTCAAAGACATTTTTAAAATATATTTAAATGGTGCATTTTAATATATACTGAATCCAGTGCATATGTCTTCACAGAGTAATAACATGACCACATCGCGGTAACTCACCCAACATCCTCAAACTATTGTATTTGTTGCCTTTTAGTTCCACCATTGTCTGAAATTAGATAGTAATTTCTTTTCAGTGCAGAGATTATTTCTTATTTATAATGTGAGGCACCTAGCACACAAGTGGGCACTGGAAGATAAGTTAGAACAGTTGCAGCTGCACTGTACAGGAGAATAATGAAACTACCGGTAAGTGAAATCCATGGTATATTTCTCAGCAGGCAGTTACTCAGCATGCCTTACCACTTCACTGCTGGGGTCTGAGAACAAACTGATATTGTTGGGGCATAAGTAAAATTAAGAACTAAAAAGTAATTAAGAAGTTTAACTGGAAAAAGTTGTATCCACCATTTCATTCCAACCTTGACTATAACCTTCCAGCTAAAACCTTAAAAATGCATCATGGCTGGAACTAATGTTTTCTATTCCTAGCATGTAGGTAAAATATTCTTTGATTTAAAACTCGATATGTTTTGCTCTCAAGGGCAAGCTCTATAAGAAGAAAGATGCAACCGCACAGAATGAAATATGACTTCCATCTTCCATTTCTCTTCTTATTTGGTTACTGCTCAAATATTCTGCATTCATTTAAACCAAGGTTTCATCTCCAATAACGCTTCTTTTATGTTGTCATGAAAAGTATTTGGAAGGTCAACAATGCCCTGCATAACAGGAGGAATAGGCAAGAATACAGAATTCAGCTATGAACGCCCCCTTTCAAATAATTAGTGAGATTCATCCTTTAAAATCATGTTGTGTTGTTTCAATCAGCCCTTTAAAGAGGAGCTGCCACCCAGAGAAAACTTTCAAATAGAATATATTAAATAATAAAACAAATAATACTTTGGGCCTACATAACACCTTTCATCTAGGAATCTCTAAGTAGTTTACAAACATTAAACTTCACAACCTCCTTGTGAGTTTATTGTCTATAGAATGGGTATAACAATATCTCTATCTATTTACCTGTCCTATGTCTGATGTATTTAAAGATATTTGCATTTAAACTGGTCTTTTCTCCTCCTACCTAATCCTACAGTGAGGTCAATTTTTAAAGTATATGATGTTTTATACAGCACTCCCACAAAAGTACCTTAGTGTTTCCAACTCTCGTAATTTTATAACAAGCCTCACAATAGTCAATGTTTTACTTAAAGCCTGGAGTCCCACACTTACAAAAGAATCTCAGCTTTATTTAAAAAAAAAATAAGAAAGTTACTATGTTCCATGGTTGCAGGGGAAAGATTGAACACTAAAACCACAAAAAAATAGAAGGCAGATAAAAACAATCAAAAATGTTTTTTTTTTTAAACCTCAGGATTTGGTGGCCTGATTTCTGAACAGCTGGAAATGGCAATACTAGTACCTATGGACTGAACCATTTTAAACATTAATTACTAAATAAATCAGATGTTATTTGGGCCCTGATCCACTAGGGCTATGCACAGGTCCACTAGCACAGGTCAGATTACAGAAATTGTAATTGTTATATTTGGCCAATATTGACAGTCAGGAGCAAACAATCACAGTTTCTTTTAAAAACCAATAGAAAAGAAACAAATGATAACGCCAAGCTATTGATTAATAGGTAAGGGAGTGTGATTTTTAAACACTGCACAGATTATGAAAACTATTTTTTCTAGTCCCTCCTAAGTATTCCTCATGAGATAATAGTTCCAGAGAAAGATTAGCTCTCTCAGATCTTAGTAGTTTCCCCTCAGAGAGCAAAGCCTAAATGAAAGTTTCTACACAGAGACCTTAACAAGAACTGTCCTGTTCACAAGAACAAACTTAGTTCCCTATAAAGTAAACTATCAGTACTTCTGTAAATTATCAGGCACCTTTGCTGTGAAACAAAGCACAACTGTAGGCTAAATGCAGCTAATTGTCGCCCTCTCCCTGTAACTGCAGAGCAACAAAACAGCTGAACTGAACTGCAGAAGATTTTACTGGTGATGAACTCAAGCAATAAATAATTTCTATTCATCTATCCAGGATGATACACATACAAGTAGGTATTATGGTTGTGTGCATCACTGGCACCATTTGCAAGTAGCAGATCTGTCAAAAAAGTGTTTCTCCAGTGGACTATATGAAATCAGTTGAAAGGTTCCCATTCCAGCTCCCAGGAAACGGGTGACGACATCGTAAAACTGCCCCACTAACTGGTTTTCGGTCTGGCAATTTGAAAAGAGACTAAGGACAGAAAAGGCATGAGAAATGTACTAATCTCCCCTCTAAAGAAGGTCCCTATAGGTTAGTAATAAGAATCACTGACTAGGTCATTGTGAGATAAGCTAGCACTATGGCTGCTCATGTTGTACCTTACACCCATAGAATAGTAGTCTTCATTGCTGGCACCTTTCATGAGCAATTAAATCACTTTTTAAAGTGTATATGTTTGTTTTTAGGGAGTTCCTTTTTTCATATACTAGCATCACCATGCTACATAACTGTCTGATTCCTCAGGGCAGAATATTTCTTTCCTGTGCCAATTTCTTTTAAAAGTTTTGTGTATCAAGGAGCATCAACCTAAACTACATATGTAGGTAACATGAAACAAGAGATTTATATACACCAGTATTTACAAATATTAAAGGAACAACAACAATATACAAGAAAATATGGAAACAGTTAAACAATACATGCAAAAATAAACCTAATACTAATCTAAATCTCACAAGAACTTCTCTCCAGCACTTACCAATAAGTGTTTGGGTTTACAATAAGCTGGACCTTTGAGCAATTTAAACCACAAACTTCCAAATCAATGAAGTAAAAGCATATTGAAGAAAATCTGAAGTTCTACAAGGGTTAGAAGATGCAGTGATCTCAAATTCCTTCACTTCAGAGTTCACATACTGAGCTGAAGTCAAAATCCCATCTTCCTCAGACTAAGTTCCCCTTCCAACACTTTCCTGACCATCCTTCAAGTGTCATCCTAAAGCCTGTCCCCCAAATAATACAAAAAGATTGGATCAGAAGAAGTTACCATAATGACTGCTGACACCACTACTTGTTTTCAATAATGGAGAAACATTTAGTTTTTAATTTTAAAACTAAATAAGTATCTATGCAAATTAACAGAAACTCTTAGGCTCAAGTATAATTTGCCGGTGAAGGCCTCAATGCCTACAAGGATCGCCCGTTTTACAGCAGGAAAAAATCTTTATACAAGCTCTAAAAATGATTTAAGACCTGTTCATGTGGTGGAAGATTCACTCCCTGCCCCCACCCCCAACCCCCAAATGTGAATGTATTTTAAAATGTGCTGCTGGAATAAGTCAGTCTCCTTTACCTCAAATTTGCTTTCAAGGAAAACATTTTAAAAGAACTGAAATGTACACAGTACTTCTAACGCTATAGTCTCACAAATGTTAAGAACATCTCAATCTAGGTAGGAATTTTGCATCTAAATTTCTAGCAAGTGTGTATATGAACACTGCAGCAGCAGCACTGCCAACCTCTGACAATTTAAATGAGGGTGAGTTCAAGAAATTTGAGAGAGAAATTGTAACTATGTCCATTAATATTGTCACATCCTCTCCATCAATAAAGAAATGTTTAAAAAACAAATGCATTACCATACGCAAAACTGACTGGTTTACATACAGTTTTGGTATCAATAAAAATATTTTGGTGACGGGTGTGAATTTTTACAGAAAGTTATATCAATATGAGCCCTGGTGTGGATGTAGTTATATCAGTGTGAGGTTGTGTTTAGCATAGCTTATTCCTTTTCCACTACAGGAATAAGCTATCTTGACTCCACACAGGGTAGGGCTACATTTTTGCTAGCATAGTAACGTTGGTTGGGGGTGTAACTTTTCATGACATTGTCATACTGGCAAAAGCCCTAGTATAGAAAGTTATAACAACAAAAAAGTTTTTTTGCTGGTACTGTACAAATCATGTCTCCACTAGAAGGATTTGGCAACTGTATAGATCGTTTTAACCTTTCCCTCCCCTGGCAGGAGGCAACTTCCAGCTCTTCAACTCTCCCACCGCACACAAAACAAACTTTACTTCTTTACATTTCAAACCTCCCCACCCCACCCGCTCTCTGCATCCTCGGAAACGATACCCACATGTACACAGAGGAGGCGAGACCCCCAAAGACACTCCCCCCCTCCCCCGATTCACTTCTCTCTAGACAGCAGATCTCCTGACATGGGCGGGGGAGAAGCCCCCGCCCCTCCAGAGTCACAATCTCTCTCAGGGGCCTGTCGCCCCCCCGCCCCTTACCGCCAATGATGGTCCGGATGAGGGAGGCGTGTCCCGGACAGTCCACCAGGGTGAGCTGGAGCTCGCCGGGGCCGGGTCCCAGGTGCGGCGGCAGCGGGGTGCGGAGGCAGGAGAAGCCCAGGTCCAGGGTGATGCCCCGAGCTCGGCTCTGCGGGGCCCGGTCGAAGGCGGCGGTGGAACTGGTGGTGCTGAGCGCCCGGGCCAACGCTGTCTTGCCGCTGTCGATGTGCCCCAGGACCCCCACGTTCACATTCAGCCTCCTGGGGGCGCTGGGCCCCGGGGCAGCGACAGCAGCGGAACCGGCCATGGCTACCCTGTTCCCTTCGCACGCCGCCGGTCCCGGTCCCAATAGCGCCCCCGCGGCAACACGGATTCCACGGCGACCGTTCCGGGCTATCTCGGCGTTCCGCCCTCTCTGGGGAGAAAGGGAACGTCTAGCACCCGGGCGGGGTTGGGGGTTACCCACACTAGTCATATAACAAGGCCTGGGGGTGGTTCGGGACATGTCCCGCAGAGGGAGCCCAGGGATTGTTCTTTGCTAAAGCTGACAGTGGGCTGTGTTCTGTACCAGACCCAGAAAACCTGGCTGCTGCCTCACAGAGTTTGCAATCAAAACCAAACAACTCCCAGAAGAACTCATGGGGAACCTCAGATACACTGTAAGTATTACACCTACAGCATCTATTCCGCAGCTGTGCAAAATACATACCCACTACATGTAGACACACATTGCACACAATACCCACCTCTATATACACAGATCCACACAATACATACAGCAGCATGCACACAACATGGTACAAATCTGAAGGGATGTTAGGAAGGTGCCACAATAAACAAAATCAGACTCATAGTTATTGGTGTAAATAACATGCATCTATGATAAGAAAAACAACCCAAACAAAAGTAAAAAGTCCAGGACTCATCCATATTCACTATATTCATTTGTTTGTACATTAAATCCCCATAATCAACCTTTCATATTTGTCTCTTGAATTATTAGCCCTCCAGGGCAGGAATTGTCTCTTCATGTTTTTACAGCGCCAAGCACACTGCTGGACTCTTTGACACTACCATTATATAAATGCTTATTAATAACATTGACATCCTCTTCTCCAGGGGCTGCCCAAATGCTTCAAGCAACTGTACAAGTTTATTCAGTTTCTTCTCTGTATTAGATAGTACCACTACCTCCCACTCAATTGTTCATGCTCTAACCTGCAGTGGTGACTGAGTTGCATTCATAAAGTTTGGAGCAAGCTCTACTATAGTGTTTTAGAATGTATAAAACTGAATGGGAGGCGAGTCATGCTAGTGCACCAAGACCCATCAGAGAAACTCATTGTTAAGGTACAGAAGGGAAGTTAAGAATATCACCTACCAGTACCTCCAGGGAATTATTTATAATATTCCCTTGGGTGCTGAAATTCTTTCATAATTTAAATTTTATTTCATCGTACACCATGCTCACTTGTTACTACCGGATTGTTGATGGGTACTGAGCTGCACACTTTGGTTTGCTATCTAAACTATTTTTAAGGAACTTCTCATTGTGATGTATCTAAGAGCCTCAGGCTGATGACATTTAATGCTGGTTGGGTTTTTTTTAGAATAAAATATGGATAGATTTGTTTGGGGGGGGGGGAAATCCACATTTAAAAACAAAAAGTCAATTTTTGAACAAATCAATCTCACCAGACTTCTTTTATTCTGTATTACTAATTTCTGGATTTTTACAAAGGTTCCTAGTGGAAAAGAATTTATATAGAATGTGTTTTAATTAACTGGTTAGAAACATGCCTGTAAGCAGTCAAGAGTAAGCAGTGATGAGAAGTTGTCCGTACAGCGCTTCACAAGAGAAAATAAACTTCCCGCAGGAAGGAAAAGGGCTGGATAAGCATCCAAAAGACAGCATGTCAAAGAGAAGAGACAAATGTATCCCTTGTGTAAGTCCGTGACAGAAATACCCCTTGGCAAGGGGTCCTCTGTTCGTCTTTGCAAACATTTCTCACCTCAGCCCTGACAAACGCACTACACCAAACACATCATACAGAATATTTATTCATAAAGAGTAACATGTAAGGAATCTACAGAAAGCTCACAACTTGTCAAGACTCAATCATTGCAAGATGTGTATATGGGTAATATTTAAGGAATATTGTATTTATACTGAAAGTATGCTTTATGGACTTGGAGTAGAAATTAGTCACCAGGACGTAGTATGTCTCGGGGATAGGGTGACCAGACAGCAAGTGTGAAAAATCGGGACAGGGGGTAGGGGGTAATAGAAGTCTATATAAGAAAAAGCCCCAAATATCCGGACTGTCCCTATAAAATCGGGACAACTGGTCACCCTACTCGGCGATGACCCATTGGAGCAAGGAGTTGTCCCCCTCCCTAGTCAGCGGTGAGGTAATGTGAGGTTCTATTGTCTACCCTTGCCACAACCCAGAACGGTCAATGGAAAACCATCAAAGAATTGCAAACACTCACAACACCTTGGAGATGAAAAGGAACATTATAGAAGGCAAGAGATCACCCTGGCTATGAATAAAGACAAAAGATTGTTTCGGTATAAGAGTGTAGCGAAAGATATTCTGTATTCATTCACTGAGAAAACCCATTAGGGAGCAAGATGCTTTCACGAATGTGTGGATCCTGGTTCTTGTGAAATCAGTCATCTCTGCAACAGACTGAATTTAGGGAGAAAGCCTACCTTAGTATATATCGAAAAGTAACTTGATGAGTGTGGACCCACATTCATGTTTTATAAACAGTTGTTTCCACCACTTCCTCTCATGTCTAGCTAAATCTTTATTTTCTCTTTTGTTTTATTAGAAGTGCTCATAAATGCTTTGTGGTTTATGGAGCAATGGTTTAAGGAAAAACTGGGGTACACTGCACTGTTGGATGAAAAGGATCTGGAATCTCTGTGAACAGCCATTGTCAGGGGCTGGATATCACAGGAGAACGATTCAAAGGGAGTTGGGGATTGGGATGCACCTCTTCTTAATCTGCAAGGCCAAGTTAGGGCTTGCACAGCCCACAGGAGAGTGACTGAATGGCTGAACAGGTGGTGGTGTTAGGAAGCTGACATCCAGCTACCACACAAAAAACTCCCTTTCACTGGAGACAAGGGGAAACAAGCTGACTCACAGCATTGGATATCCTGAGAACTGTCAAAAAGTCCTTTAGCTTTAGAGGAGTTACAGAAGGCATGTTGGTACCAGTATGTTTAACATAAAAAAAAAATCCACAAATGTATTTCCAGAGGACAGGGTATCTGAATCATGTAATGACTGAAAATTAGAAGTATGTTAATGTTTTGAAATGATAGAAGATGGCAACAAATTGAATAAATCAGTCAACTTTAGGACTATATGTCAAAGACATCTCATCTCACAAGTTTCTAAGTAAATTGGCCTTACATGATATACTGCTATTACCTGCATGTTAAGGGGTTTTTCCAATATTCTACACATTTTTTCCAAGAGAAGCAATATCAGTTACATTTAAACTTCCTTATGCAATAATACATATTGTTAAATAATACTTAGCAGTTAATAGTGCTTTATATGTTCAAAGTGATGTAAAACATTAACTGATTAATTAATTAAGTCTTACAACAGCATTATGTCCATATAACAGATGGGAAAACTGAGGGAAATATGTGAAGTGACTTGCCCAAGGTCATATACGGCAAGGCTGAGATTTGAATTTAGAATTTTGAATCACGACTGTATGTTTATTCTTCCAGAGCACATTGCCTCATATTTTTAATCTTATATATTTCCTTTCTCTTATGATGCTTTACAAAATTAGGTAAAAATCATTTCTATTTTATGGGCACAAAGAATTTAAGTGACTTGCCAAGGTCATACAATGATTCAGTGGCAGAGTCAGGAATAGAAGATGGTCCCAGTTCCCTGCTTGATTTATGAGAGGCCATCGCCTCCCTAGAGAAAATAAAGGCAGTTAGCCTGGTTATTCAGTATACTCAAAGGAATGGTCCTGGCTCCCACTGCCATCAATGAGAGTTTTGACAAGGGAGCTGGATTAGGCATAATATGTCACATTTCTAACCAAGTGCCCAAGCTTTGAATTGTTTTATGTCAAATCATCATTCTTCAGAACTCACATACACTTTACTACCCTGAACTCCTCAACCAATCAATACATACATACATTCATACACACACACACACACACACACAAATAACTGCAAATGTATGTCTATCCCCATAAGGATACAAGAAAATGCCTGTATAATTCACATATATGTATTACTAGATCACATTACACACCATTCATATTATAAATATACTGTATAATTCATTTTAGTATTAATGATAAGACTTCTGTGGATTTACAATTTTAATTTACTTCTTATGCAAGAAAAATGCATTTCTGTTTATTCTTCAACTTTTATAATCTTAAAGTTGACTTGTAAAGGAAAAAACATGGATTTGTACTCCCTTTTGTTTCCTCAAGATGTATAAACAAGGCTTGAAACTTTTCAGGGGGTTAGTTTGTTTATTAGGGGAGGCAGTGTTTTCTTCCATTTGTTTTTACATAAGAAATTTAAGTTATCAGGATATTATGCTACAATGCTCAGAGTTATGCTAAATGCCTCACAGTACTTATACACTGCATGAGGTCCCTGCCTCAAACAGTTTGCAGAATTGGGGCCTTTGACCATAAAGTGCCTCAAAGAGGTAGATCCCTTTGCAGGATGAGGGTCTAAAATAAAACCTATTTTTCCTAGAAAACTAATACATTTATGATGTCACAGATACCAAGGATGTGAAACCTGGTGAATTGAGAAGGGAATGATTTTTATTCAGATTATTTTTCCCCCTTTTGGTTGGTTACTACCTCAAATCCCTTAGAAAGAGTTAGAAGAAAAGATACCTGTGTTAGAGATTTAACAGCCTCCTTTGATGAAGGGTTCAAGAAACTCCCAATCCAATTCTCTCCAAAAGAGACCTCTAGCAATATGGTAAACAAGACTTTATATTCCTGATATTTCTAAGGTAAGAAAATAAACTTCCAGGTTTCTCTACACAATATAAAGAAACAAACAATGGCATAAAGTCATTTTTGCCCCCCTCAATATAATATCCCCTTTTCTATGCTGAATTCTTGCTTCAGAATTGTTCACTTTGTTTGCTAAGGTTTTCCAAGACTCATGGGAGAGAGGGCAGGAAGTCAGACTTTTGGGAAGGGCTAAAAATGTAAAGGTCATTCTCCTCTCTCACACACATACACATACACACACACACACATTCTTTCTCTCCAAAAATAATACACTATTTGACAGTTTCAGGATTTGGCATGTCCCACTGAAATTTGAAAACTTATGTGAAACT